CCTAGGAAATAGAAGATAAGCAGCGATCGGATCCTGCAGGGATGGTTCAGGAGTTCCCGTGATGAAATCCCTGAATCTGATCTGGTTATTGGTATTCATTCCAAGGGTCTGGTTATTCTTCTTTTTGTTTAACTTAGTGAGCCAACCTCTGAGTTCAATTCCTTTTTCCTTAAGGTAGCAAGAATTGGCGTCTGTTGCTTGCAAACAAAGAATTTAACAGATTGAGGTTGCAAAATATACCCTCAATGTGGAAAAAGGTGGGGTCCCGTGGAATACTGGATTTATAGAGCACAGGTTAGATGCAATCTCTGTCTGCCAAGACTGTATTAATATGGATCATAGACATCATTTATTCAATGCCTACATGAGGTTTTATGGATGCTAAGAGTTTTATAGGCATTTTATCAGCCTTACAGTTATACTGAAAGAAAGATATTTTTATCTTCACTTTTCACTTGAGGAAATGGAGGTCCAGGAATTTACTACTGGAAAGATATAAAATCAACATAAATATCATCAAGGAGTGGTAAGCAATACTGAAGAAAAGACAATATTTTCCTTCCTCTTAGCATGCTTCTCTTTCTGGTTTCCATTTTCTCTGGGTGACTAATGGCCCCGTTAGCCTGTCTGCACTGCCCATGTAAAAATTCTTTTAAAGGGGCAGCAGGAAACATTGATCTTGACCAGCATAATTGAGTGTTTAGAATTTTCCAGTTTGAGGCCAGGATTGGGGGCTTATGCCTGTAATCTCCTGAGGTGGGAGGATTGCTTGAGGCCAGGAGTTCAAGACCAGCCTGGGCAACATAGCAAGACTTTATCTCTATGAAAAACTTAAAAATTAGCCTGAGATAGTGGCATTCTTCTATCTCCCAAGTATAGTCCCAGCTACTTGGGAGGCTGCGGCAGGAGGATCACTTGAGCTCAGGAGTTCGAGGCTGCAGTGAGCTATGATCCTGCCACTGCACTCCAGCCTGGGTGACAGAGCGAGACTCATCTTATTTATTTATTTTTTAAATTCCAGTTTGCTTGCTTCCTTTCTTTTCTTTTCCAGACAGAGTCTCACTCTGTCACCCAGGCTGGAGTGCAGTGGCGTGATCTCGACTCACTGCAACTTCCACCTCCCAGCTTCAAGCGATTCTCCTGCCTCAGCCTCCCAAGTAGCTGAGATTACAGGAACCCACCACCATGCCAGGCTAGTTTTTTGTATTTAGTAGAGATGGGGTTTCTCCATGTTGACTAGGCTGGTCTTCAACTCCTGACCTCAGGTGATCCACCCACCTTGACCTCCCAAAGTGCTGGAATTACAGGCGTGAGCCACTGTGCTTGGCCCCAGTTTGCTTTCTGTTTTAAGTGTTAGATGGTCCATAAAATCTGAAGATTTCCGAAGAGAAGATATCAGAAATGTGATATTTGGCTTTTGACTTGCAAGTAGATAATCAAAGCAAGTTTGCCTGACCTTGGATTTCACATGGAAGGCACACAGGGTGAATGAGATGTGAGCAGAACAGGAACAATTAGCTCATTGTTTTTATACAAATAATACTTATCGACAGCAGCCATTGACGAGCAGCAGCCAGAGCTCTGTGGTCTCCCATGTCTGTGGATCCCAATGAGGGTCACAAGGTGAGGACCAAGAATGTGAGGAAACCCAGGCACGGCTGCTGCTGCCACTGCAGGCACCCACCAAGCACAGAAAGTTCGTGTGGACATGATGAGAGGTGTGTGGCTTTACTCCATGTAAGTGATGCACCTTGGAATTGTTCAAGGTCTCTGAGAAAAAGTGGACTCTCAAGTTCATCAAGAGGGCAGGTACACATGTCTGCACCAAGAGGAAGTGAGAGGAGCTGAGCAATGTCTTCACCTCCAGGAAGTGAGTGGTACCAAGGACTGAAACTCTTTCCCCTTCTGTGTATAAGAAAACCTTTACAGGCCGGGTGTGGTGCCTGTAATCCCAGCACTTTGTGGGGCCAAGGTGGGTGGATCACGAGGTCAAGAGATGGAGACCCTCCTGGCCAACACGGTGAAACCCCATCCCTACTAAAAATACAAAAATTAGCCAGGCATGGTGGTGCACGCCTGTAGTCTCAGCTACTTGGGAGGCTGACGCAGGAGAATCGCTTGAACCTGGGAGGTGGAGGTTGCAGTGAGCCGAGATCACGCCTCTGCCCTCCAGCCTGGTGACAGAGTGAGACTCAGTCTCAAAAAGAAAAAGAAAATCTTTACAGAAAAAAAGGGAATGCTTATTTGTATTGGATGACTGTGTTCCATTGTGCATCACTTGATCGTCTTTTGCCCTAGTCATCGCTATAGCAACTGGCTTTGCGCACGTGTAACCTGACAGTGCTTCCTGTTAGTTGCACTGGGGACCTCCTGCTTTTTATCCTAGAGCATCTCTGCTGCCTTGGTATGGAACATCCATGAGAATCCATTTACTTATACCCAATCTAGAAGTGGGAGGTTGTTAAGACTCCTGGTCTGGCCTTTTTCCAGTAGGGGATGAGTCACTGGATAAATGCTTCCCTCTTCCGGCTCTTATTTCTTGGAAGGACCATTCTGAGCTGTGTTCTAAGTCTCCTTAGAAGGTGCTAGTGGGAGGAGCCTAAATTGCTACAGTCGGACCAACTCAAAGATGCTCTTTTCTTTTTTTTGAGATGGAGTCTTGCTGTGTCACCCAGGCTGGAGTGCAGTGGCGTGATCTCGGCTCACTGCAAACTCCGCCTCCCAGGCTCAAGCAATTTTCCTACCTCAGCCTCTCGAGTAGCTGGGATTACAGGCGCCTGCCACCACATCCCACTAATTTTATAGTTTTAGTAGAAATGGGGTTTCACCATGTTGGGCAGGCTGGTCTTGAACTCCTGACCTGAAGTGATCCGCCTACCTCAGCCTCCCAAAGTGCTAGAATTACAGGCGGCAGCCACCATGCCTGGCTCAAAAATGCTCTTTCAATTAACTGTCCGTTCTTCCCTGTCTCATTCTTCTTAGTCTCCCAGGCCTCTTTTCTGGAATCACTGCTCTAAATAAACTAGCTGCCTACAAACCCAGGGCTCAGGCTTGCTTACTGTGGGAACCCGGGCTAGGACAACATTCACTGTAGAAAATTAGACTATACGGTTGGGCATGGTGGTTCACACCTGTAATTCCAGGATTTTAGGAGGCTGAGGTAGGCAGATTGCTTGAGCCCAGGAGTTTGAGACCAGCCTGGACACCATGGCAAAACCCTCTCTACTTAATAAATAAATAAATAAGTTGGGTGTGGTAGCACATGCTGTAGTCCCAGCTACTCAGGAGGCTGAGGCAGGAGGATTGATTGAATCTGGAAAGTGGAGGTTGCAGTAAGCTGAGGCAGCCCTCCAGCCTGGGTGATAGCATGAGACCCCATCTCAAAAGAAAGGAAGAGAAAAGAAAGGAAAAGAAAATTAGAATATGGAGATAAATTAAAAAGAATATGAAAATCACCCATAATCTTGCCTTCTCTAGAAATTTCTTCCATGCAAGTTTGGGTGTATATTCTTCCTTTTAGAATGCACATACACACTTCAAAAAAAAAAAAAAAAGATGCAACACAGTTACAATGTATATATGGTTATATAGCCTGACTTTTTTCACTTGCTATATTGTGAAATTCTCTTCATGTGATAAAATTTTCTTCTCCAATGTCACATTTAATAGCTTTACAGTAGTTCATTTATTCATCCATCATTTACTGAGCAGCTACTATGTCCCAGGCACTGTTTGGGGTGCTGAAAACATAGTAGTGAATAAAATAGATCAGGCCTCTATTCTCATGGAGCTAGCATTCTAGATAGGGTCTGTTTCTTTTTATTTTTTTTCTCCCTCTCTCCTTCTTTATTTTTCTTTTTCTTTCTCTCTTTCCTTCCTTCCTTTTCTCCCTCTTTCCCCTCCCTCCCTCCCTCCTTCCTTCCCTCTCTCTCTTGTCTTTCTTTCTTGCTTGCTTTTCCATTTCCATTTCCGTTTCTGTTTCCTTTTCCTTTTCCTTTTTTTTTTTTTTGAGATAGAGTCTCACTCTGTCACCCAGGCTGGAATGCAGTGGCACAATCTTAGCTTACTGCAACCTCTGCCTCCCAGGTTCCAGCAATTTTCTTGCCTCAGCCTCCTGAGTAGCTGGGTTTACAGGTGTGCACCACCATGGCCAGCTAATTTTTGTATTTTTAGTAGAGACAGGGTTTCATCATGTTGGCCAAGATGGTCTCGATCTCTTGACCTCATGATCTGCCGTCCTCGGCCTCCCAAAGTGTTGGGATTACATGGACTTTGGGGATGGGAGGGGGCAGCAAGGGGAGGAGTACATATATATGTATGTGTGTGTGTGTGTGTGTGTGTGTGTGTAGTCACATAAAAATAAAGTCATTCTTATGCCTTTGCATCCTCCTAGCTTAGCTCCCACTTATGAGTGAGAACACATGATGATTGGTTTTCCATTCCTGAGTTACTTCACTTAGAGTAATAGTCTCCAGTCCCATCCAGGTTGCTACGAATGCAATTAATTCATTTTTTATGGCTGAGTAGTATTCCATCTTATGTATATACCACAATTTCTTTTCCCACCTGTTGATTCTTTTTTAGATTTTAATTTAAATAACATCTTAGAGAGATTTTCACTATCAATCCTTACTCCTGCCCCTTGCCTTACCTTATTTTTTTTCTTCCTAATATTTATCACTGATTCAAATGTTCACATTTATTTGTTTAAAGTCTCCCTTCCCACTTAAATGACGTCAGGGTTTTTTGTTTTGTCTAAATGCTGAATTCTTGGGACCTGGCATATAGTAGTCGCTCAATGCATGTTTGTTGAATGAAGGAACAATGCTTGGCGCGAAGTCAGAGCTTAGCATAAGTGATAGGCAGGAGAGCTGATGGGGTGAAGAGCAGGTGCGTAGACGTCCGCCTCGGGCGCCACAAGTCACTAGCCTGACCAAGTGCGCACAGGGGCAGCCCGGGGGGCGTGGCGGGGGCGTGGCCGCCCACCCGGAACCCTAGAGCGACGGCGGCGGCGGTTTCCGGCCGTAGCGGACACTTCCCGTGGAGGGACTGTCCCGTGGCACCCAGTGGAGCCGAAGAGAACGCGGAGCGGCGACGATGGACGAATGCAGCTTAGAGGAGTTCCGTCGGCGCTGGCAGGAGGAGCTGGCGCAGGCCCAGGCGCCTAGGAAGTGGCGGCGGTCTGATGCTGCCGAGAGGCGGGCGCGACGGCCGGAGGTGGCCCCCGGGCGCAGCGAACAGGCCTCGGGAGACCCGGCGCTGGCCCAGGGTCTCCTGGAGGGCGCAGGGAGGCCTCCGGCGGCGCGGGCGACTCGGGCCGAGGCGCAGGACGTGGCGAGCCGGTCCGGTTTTCCTCGGGCCCGCGAGGGCGCCGGGGGCGGGGAGCAGCTGGTGGACCAGCTAATCCGCGACCTGGTGAGTGGCAGTCGCCTCTGGCCGAGGCCCGCGCCCGCCCCTGCCCTCAGGACAAACCCCTGCAGTGATTTGGAGAGTAACTGTGTGCCTCTAGTTGCCCGAGAAAATGAGTAGATGCACAAACACCGATGTTTGTGCGTGCATGGGGTCTTGCTGGAAGCAGCGCTTCTCAGTCGGGGCGATTTTGTTCCCCCAGATTTGGCAGTGTCTGCAGAGATTTTTGGGTATCTCATCGGGGTGTGTATGTGTGCATGTTACTCGGCATCTAGTGGGTAGAGGCCAGAGATGCTCGTGAACATCCTACAGTGCACAACAGGACAGCACGCACAAAAAATTATCTAGGCCAAAATGTCAGCGAGTGTGTGTGGGGTTGAGAAATCTTGCTCTTGAAAGCTACCTAAACTTTGAACAAAGGTTGCTTTTGAAAAGGAGGACCCAGGTAATGAACAGGAAGGAATTTTAACTTTTTTTTGCATACTGTTTGCACTAATTTTTGTAACCGTGCACTTATTTAAAAAGATTCAGGAAAAAAAGGAGAGGGGGAAGAACTCTTGGGCACTTTCATTAGGATTTCTTATCTTTTTGTGGGGCGTAGATCCTTTGGAGAATCTGGAGGAAACTGGGGACCCTCTGTCCGTTAAAAATCTGGGAAAAGCCAGATCATCTGAAATGCATCTGTGGCTCCCAGGTTAAGAGGACAAGGCAGCAGGTTTTAATGGTTTGATTTAAATTAGGCTCAAAGAAAGGCTTTACAGCTTTCTAATTGGGAACAATTCTCCCCTCTCCCTCTCCCACCTCTCCCTGTCTCCTTCCCTCCTCTCCCTCCATCTCTCTCTCTCTTTTTTTTTTTTTGAGAAAGGGTTTTGCTCTGTTCTCTCTCTCTCTCTCTTCCTTTTTCTTTTCTCTCTCTTTCTTTCTTTTCTTTCTTTTTTTTTGAGACAGGGTCTTGCTGTGTTGCCCAGGTTAGAGTGCAGTGTTGCCCTCTCAGCTCACTGCAGCTTCAAACTGTCTGGCTCAAGCCATCCTCCTGCCTCAGTATCCTGAGTAGCTGGGACTACACGCAGGCGTCACCACACTCAGATAATTTTTTAAATTTTTTGGTAGCGACAAGGTCTCCCGGTGTTGTCCAGTCTGGTTTCAAACTCCTGGGCTCACGTGATCCTCTCAATTGAGAATAATTCTTTAAGTAGCAAGCTGTTTCAATAATGGCCTATTATTTTATGTAATATGTAGTTTACTCAAATGACATTAATAGCTACTGTTTGAGTTTTTACCAAGTGTTTGGTCCTATGCTTTGCCTAAATTCGAATACAACAATCCTGTGAGGTAGGTTTGAACTCTTCTTTTACAGATGAAGAAACTCAGAGATTCTCTGTAACTTGCCCAGGGTTATCTCACTGATAGATTCTGGGGATCCAGGTCTTTTCAACTCCAGATTTCACCAAGTTAAACTTGAGTTGGCATAAGAATCATGGGAGGCTTTGTTAAAATATAGGTTCTGGGCCTTCCCTAGACCTGCTAACTCCATCACCAGGGAAGGGGCCCTGAAATCTGATGACTGACTTGATCAGGCAAGTTGAAGACATTATGCTCTATAGCTTCCAGGTCCTGATTCTCAAGGCTTTCCAGTTGTAACCCTTAGAGGTATAGGCATTGATACCAAAAATTGTAAAGAAGTAAATCAAGTACAGTTGACCCTTGAACAGTGTGGGGGTTAGGGGCACTGACCTTGCAGTCAAAAATCTGCGTATAATTTTTGACTCTCCCAAAACTTAACCATGAATAGCCTACTGTTGACCAGAAGCCTTACTGATAACAGTCCATTAATGCGTATTGTGTATCTTATGTGTGTTATATACCGTAGCCTTACAATAAAGTAAGCTAGAGGAGAAAGTGTCCTTAAGACAATTATAAGAGAAAATGTGTTTACTATTTATTAAGTGGAAATGGCTCATCACAAAGGCCTTCATTCTCATTGCCTTCACACTGGGTAGGTGGCGGCGGTGGTTGCTGCTGCGAAGGAGGGATTGTCTTGCTGTTTTAGTGGTGGCAGAGGCACATTTGATGTAACGTGTATGGAAAACACCTGCATATAAGTGGACGGACCCATGTGGTTCAAACCCATGGTGTTCAAGGGTCTGCTTTATTCTAAAAACAGAAGGAGCCTGTGTACTGCAGGATCTAGAGGGCACATCCAAATCTGTTTCATGTTGCTGGGAAAGGCCTGCCGTGTCTTCTGGGAATTTATGTCCCTGGTCTTCTCTGCCCCCTTCAGAATCACCACATTAGGTACTACCAGGCTTTACTATGAGTAGCATACAACCTTTGGGGCACCTCTAATTTTAAAGAGGACTTTGTAGGCCAGGTGTGGTGGTACACACCTGTAATCCCAGCACTTTAGAGGCTGAGGCAGGAGGATCGCTTGAACCCAGGAATTCAAGACCAGCCTGGGCAACATAGTGAAACCCCGTCTCTACAAAAAAAATTTTTTTTTTTTAATTGAGACAGAGTTTCACCGTTGTTACCCAGGCCGGAGTGCAATGGCGCGATCTCGGCTCACCGCAACCTCTGCCTCCTGGGTTCAGGCAATTCTCCTGCCTCAGCCTCCTGAGTAGCCGGGATTACAGGCATGCGCCACCATGCCCAGCTAATTTTTTGTATTTTGAGTAGAGACGGGGTTTCACCATGTTGACCAGGATTGTCTTGATCTCTTGACCTCGTGATCCACCTGCCTCGGCCTCCCAAAGTGCTGGGATTACAGGCGTGAGCCACTGCGCCCGGCCCAAAAATTTTTAAAAATAAGCTAGATGTGGTGGTGCACCCCTTTAGTTTTAGCTACTTGGGAGGTTGAGGTGGGAGGATCACTTGAGCCCAGGAAGTTGAGGGTGCAGTGAGCCATGATTGTACCACTGTAATTCAGCCTGAGTGACAGAGCAAGATCCTGTCAAAAATAGGCAAAAAGCAGACTGTGTGGCTGGGCAGGGTGGCTCATGCCTGTAATCCTAGCACTTTGGGAGGCCGAGGTAGGTGGATCTCTTGAGCTCAGGAACTCCAGACCAACCTGGACAACATGGAGAAACCCCATCTGTACAGACATTGGCCAGGCATCGTGGCATGCTCCTGTAGTCCTAGCTACTTGGGAGGCTGACATGGGAGGATTGATTGAGCATGGGAGGTCAAGACTGCAGTGAGCCAGAATCGCACTACTGCACTCCAGCCGAGTGAAACCCTGTCTCAAAACAAAAACAAACAAGACTTTGCAATCATCAGTAACACTGCTATAAATAAAGTGATAATTCATTGTGTGTGTACTTACTGTCTCCTTGGTACTGTCTTAAGGGTTTAGAGACATTATAGTTTTCGTTTCTCCCAACAACTCTTTCAAGTGATTATTTTCAACAGATTTGTAGATAAGCATTAGGAAAGTAACTGATTTTTGGATAATAAACCTGCCCCTTATCTCCAGTCTGTTAAATGATGACAGGGCTTATGGAAAAGGCTTGGATCTCTGTGTCAGTGGTTGCAAGCCCAGAGCCCATAGGGCTAAGGCAGGTGATGCATGTGAGTGAGGCAGGCTGGGAGTTGCACAGTAGGTCCTTTGTCCCAGCTCATGAGGTGTTTTTATGTGTTCTGGTCATAGTTTTATAATGATTTGTTTCATAGTGGTGACTGTTCTTTTTGTCACATTAAACATGTCTGATATTGTAGAAATTGTCTTGAAACATGGCCAACTTGGTCTTGTTTTCCCACTTTTAAAGTTTTTAAGCTCAAACTATGTCTTGACACATATAAGTCCTAAATGCACAGCTTGATTTTTTTTTTTTTTTTTTTGAGTCTTGCTCTGTTGCCCAGGCTGGAGTGCAGTGGTGCAATCTTGGCTCACTGCAACTTCTGCCTCCCAAGTTCAAGAAATTATCCTGCCTCAGCCTCCTGAGTAGCTGGGATTACAGGTGCACACCACTATGCCCAGCTAATTTTTGTATTTTTAGTAGAGACAGGGTTTCACCATGTCAGTCAGGCTGGTCTCTAACTCCTGACTTTGTGATCTGCCTGCCTCAGCCTCCCAGAGTGCTGGGATTACAGGCGTGAGCCACCGTGTCTGACTCCTTGATGAATTTTCAAGTGTACACATCCATGTAAGCAGCAGCCTGGTCACAGGACAGCATTATCAGCATGTCAGAACCACATCCCCCACCCTGAGTTCCCTTCCACCCAGGGGTAACCACTCACCTGTCATTTTTTTTTTTTTTTTTTTTTTTTTTTGAGACAGGGTTGCTCTGTCACCTAGGCTGGAGTGCTCTGGTACAATCTTGGCTCACTGCAACTCTACCTCCTGGGTTCAAGTGATTCTTGTGCCTCAGCCTCCCAAGTAGCTGTGACTACAGGCATGCATCGCCATGGCCAGCTAATTTTTGTATTTTTTTTTTATTGCATTTTAGGTTTTGGGGTACATGTGAAGAACATGCAAGATAGTTGCATAGGTACACACGTGGCAGTGTGATTTGCTGCCTTCCTCCCCTTCACCTATATCTGGCATTTTTCCCCATGCTCTCTCCCTAACTCCCCCCACTGCTGTCCCTCCCCTATTCCCCCCAACAGACCCCAGTGTGTAGTGCTCCCCTCCCTGTGTCCATGTGTTCTCATTGTTCATCACCCACCTATGAGTGAGAACATGCAGTATTTCATTTTCTGTTCTTGTGTCAGTTTGCTGAGAATGATGTTCTCCAGGTTCATCCATGTCCCTGCCAAGGACATGAACTCATCGTTTTTGATGGCTGCATAATAGTCCATGGTGTATATGTGCCACATTTTCCCAGTCCAGTCTATCGTATTTTTAGTAGAGACTGGGTTTCACTGTGTTGGCCAGCCTGGTCTCGAACTCCTGGCTTCATGTCATCTGCCTGCTTTGGCCTCCCAAAGTGCTGGGACTAAAGGTGAGCCTCCGTGGCTGGCCTTACCTGACTTCTAACACGACATTTAGTTTGTTTTTGAACATATAT